AGTATTAGGTACGATAAATCAACGAACAACATGGATTCGTTTACAAAAATCATTGTGAAGCAGGGGTAAGATAATTTATTCTAGAATAAAATTTATAGTATATTAAGGATAAGCATTTTAAAAATATTGTTAATTATTTGGCAAACTTATGAATTGTCACCAATATAAATTCTTGTAAGAAAGACTATCTTTACAGCCTGAATTTATTAATTATTAATGTAATAAAATATCACAGACATTAACTGTTGTTCTGTCTCTCAAAATATACCTTTTAACTGTATTATTTCACACGGTTATGACTAAAATAAACTAGAATACTTTAATACAAATCTTTATAATTGAAAATTTGAATAATGATGTTTATGAAACGGGCGGTCATAAAGCGAATCTATTATAATTGTGTAGTAAATACGTTTAAAAGAATCCAGCAACGAGTTGCGTAACTTTTCAGTCAATATTTGGTGGCGCCATCTGTTATGATATTTTGTTTAAAATTGTTTTATATTTTTAACTACTGTAATATATATAAGTTATATATATATAAACTCATATACGTACCCTCAACCTTCCTGAAGCCATTGAGGCTGTATATGTATGTATGTATGTATATATATATATATCCGAGACTCGTTTTAATTAATCCAATCAAATTCTGTCTACTATTTTGATCTCACTATCGTTTTAATATTGATTTAAACAGTTTATATTGTTTAACATTAAAATAATGCAATGATTTAAATCAAAATTTTCTTAATGCATTTAGTATTACTTCCACAGACAGATCTTAAAAAAGGGTTTTCAGAAGATTGGATGATAATTATATATAAATGTACTTTTTAAAGACGTATTTAAAGATATAAACGTTAATAATTTATTTAAAATAAAGTGTAATGAGTGTAAAATATAAAATAAACATTGTACAGTTTTCATTCCACACACTTAAGAAGCGTTAAAAAGAAGCATAACTTTGAATTTAAGCATGCCTACAGCACAGAACACTTCTTTACATTAGCATTTTTTAAATTTTATTTTATACATTAACATTATTTTCATTAACAATTCTTTAAGTTTGAATATGCATGAGCTTAAAACAATTTTGTTAATATATTAAAATTAATTTCAGATATTTTCATCATTTCCATTATACAGGATGGTAACAAGTATCTCCTCATTCAATTATTCAAAAAGTAGACGTCTTGTCTATTTCATGCACTAAACAATGGTGAGAATTTCTGCATCATCCAGCTCTTCAATCAAAAGGGGCTGTTGTAATTTCTATCTCGAATGAAAATTCTACACACAAAAACGTGAGTACTATTGCCTTTTAGTGCATTCAGAAATATCAAGTGGAACAGGTTGTCAAATGTAATATGTAAATTCTCCCCTTGCGGTGACGTCCCCCTGCAGTGTCTTGTAGATATTTCAGAGGACATGGTTGATTGTGCAGTTTATTTAGGTTAGAATTTCATGCAAAGGGCCCAGAGGACATCCCTTTTTCTTTTGTGATTTCATTAAAGGTCTAGTGTTCAGTCCACCCTTGCCTGAAACCTCTCTGACCTCAAAACTCGAATCTGTTTACTGTTGTCTCCAAAATTGCAACAAATTGAATTCGGGATCCTGTTGCATAAAACGCTTGTAATTGTTACAAGCTTTACAAGTTACAAATTATAAGCTACAAGTATTTATAAGTCTTGTATCTTGTAATCTTTATGTAACAGGGTCCTGATGGGATGTCTGGTGTCGCTGACGCCCACAAAACTGACTCTTCGAGATAAAATTCGATGTGTCTTGCTATAAATTAACACCCTGATCGATTCTGCAGTTCTTCTGATGAGTATTTACTAAAATGATATCAACACAATATAAAATTTATTCTGTTTTAAAATATTTAATAAAAAAGGATAATTTACATTCGAAAATAGTTGTAAATACTGTACTCCTTTCAGTAATTGGCTCTTTCATCATTGATTTTTCGACATTCACTTCTATTTCTAAATAATTTTATAGAAAAATTAGTTTTATAAATTACTTAATATAAATAGTGTTAATTAAAACGAAATTATACAACTGTAATTGCTATAAACAGTAGTTTTAAAAAGCCATCCACAATACTTAACAGTAGAAATTTGAATAAAAACAACATGAATGCACTTTTATCCTAAACTGACAGGCATTTTACACTTTTATCTAAGCTAACAGGCTTCTTATAATTTTATTCTACGCTGACAGACTTCTTAGAACGTTAAGAAGAATGCATCTAAATCAGTGTCTCAAACGTTTTCGTGTTAAGGTTCATTTAATTACAGAAATTTAATAATGTTAAAGTGCAATAATATGTAAGTGCATAAGGTAGAAGCATCAAATCAACTAAAATACACTTGGTGGCCCCTTATATTTGGGAACTCCTAGACTATTACTCGCCATTGATTGCATTGTAGTATAACATTCTTTATTATATTCTTTATTGATAACTGAAGTTAAATTAGTTTAGATTCAGTACACGAAAGTGTCTTTATGTGTTCTTATTAAAATTTCCAGTTAACATTAACAATGCATTTTTAGTAATAATAGTTTAATTTGTATCGTTGAATCAAAATAAGAATTTGATGTAAAGATTTGCATTTTATTTTAAAAAATTTAATTAATTAAACATTCGCAAATAGTAGACAATGCGTACAGAAAAAAAATTTAAGGGCTTATCTCTGTACTTTTCGCATTCCTCACCTTTGTACTCTTCACTTTTAATTTCTAATTCAAACTTCCCTGGTCTAATTTTTTATTTTCCGTTTTGAATCAATCTGATAGGCTAGGGCCTTACATACTCGACAGTATTAGGTACGATAAATCAACGAACAACATGGATTCGTTTACAAAAATCATTGTGAAGCAGGGGTAAGATAATTTATTCTAGAATAAAATTTATAGTATATTAAGGATAAGCATTTTAAAAATATTGTTAATTATTTGGCAAACTTATGAATTGTCACCAATATAAATTCTTGTAAGAAAGACTATCTTTACAGCCTGAATTTATTAATTATTAATGTAATAAAATATCACAGACATTAACTGTTGTTCTGTCTCTCAAAATATACCTTTTAACTGTATTATTTCACACGGTTATGACTAAAATAAACTAGAATACTTTAATACAAATCTTTATAATTGAAAATTTGAATAATGATGTTTATGAAACGGGCGGTCATAAAGCGAATCTATTATAATTGTGTAGTAAATACGTTTAAAAGAATCCAGCAACGAGTTGCGTAACTTTTCAGTCAATATTTGGTGGCGCCATCTGTTATGATATTTTGTTTAAAATTGTTTTATATTTTTAACTACTGTAATAGATATAAGTTATATATATATAAACTCATATACGTACCCTCAACCTTCCTGAAGCCATTGAGGCTGTATATGTATGTATGTATGTATGTGTGTATATATATATAACCGAGACTCGTTTTAATTAATCCAATCAAATTCTTTCTAGTATTTTGATCTCACTATCATTTTAATATTGATTTAAACAGTTTATATTGTTTAACATTAAAATAATGCAATAANACATAAACTAAACACAGATTGCCTTTATAAAAACAGTAATGATGATCTTAATTTTCAAACAAATGATATTGAATCATGAAATGTCATTTTCTAATGAAATTTCGCTCAGAATTGACAGTAGTTATGAATTATTTAGTGAATTTTTCTGATTAATGTCTATTTGAAGTAAATATAAACAATGTGTTTGCCATGTTAATTTTTTGATTTTATTACCAATCTGCATAAATTATCTTAAAACTTGTAGATAAGTGCAATGAATATCAACTCAAATTATTAGAAACAGTTTAAAAACCTTTTCCTACTTCTACTTTTTACATACGTTTCCGTGTCTTATACATCTGTCTGTTCCATATTCTTCCACTTCTATATATTTTCTTATATTCCACACACTTCCATCATTTCCTCACCTTGTTTTATATTTTTCTACCTGTTCTACACATTTTTATCTCTTTCATACTTTAAAATCCTTTCTACCTATTTCATTCTATCTGATCTCTTCCATTAAACTGTAAAGTAGTTCGTTGGAAGGGGTACTGACTCAATAGGTTATAAAAANTTTATATTATCGACGTTATTTTTATATTAATTGAATAAATCGTAAAGTCGAGATAAGTTGGAGGTATAAATTTTATTTTTCAATTAATTTAACCGTAAAAATATGTTCTTTTTTTTTTGGCACTTTTACAAGTAGGTGTTAACGTTTTCGGGCCAATAAATCTTTTTGTCTTATTTATCTTTTCTGTGATTCGAAAAAAAACAAAACGAAAAAATTGGCTCGGTGTGAAAAAGTTATATACAGCAGTCGGGAGGCATAAAATTCGAAAAATTTACAATACACCTAATACTACAGTTTGCTTTATTTCATGCTATTCTATTTGATTATTCCAGATTATATATTTATTGTTATTAAAATGGAAAATTCAATTCGAATAACAAAAAAAGGGGAGGGGGAATTTATATGTAAAATCTGTGACAGCGGTTCTCAACCTTTTCTACTCGTGTGCTACCTTAACCTATTGTGTATAGACTTGTAATACTAATAGACCCTTCTTGTCTACCTCTAGGGGTACGAGTACTACTGGTTGGGAACTTTTAAAAGTCACGTGTATTCCGGAACTTTGTGTATATATATAATACTATATGCATTAATATTATAATATGTGATGTAAATTGTGATTTTTATTCATTTTTTTTTTTTCTACAGCTATGGCGATTTGTACAAAATGGGATTGTAAGGTAAATAAAAAGTTGTTACCTGTAAAATGTCATTTGTTTTTATATGCATCAGGTAAGTAAACTGTTTACTTATCTGTTTTAATAATTAAATTACATTTAATTATTAATACTTATTCATATTTCTTAGCTATTGCCACCATACTACCTTTCTGCCCAATCATTGCCAAAAATTTGGGAATAACTGCCACAGCTGTAGGAATCATTTACACCGTAGTTCCATTTACGACAATTATTGTCTCTCCATTCTTTGGATGGATAGCTGACAAATTCAAGCATTTAAAGTTTATCATTATAATTCTGATTATTATCCAGACGCCATTTTACTTTGCAATTAATCACATACCTCCGATAAATAAATCCAAGCAAGCTTTTAGTGCAGAAGTAATTTGCAACAATAACAATTCTTATGCATTGGAATCGAGTGTATATTTGCCATTGTCAAGTAATAACAGCATGGTGTGTTATGCCGACTGTCATGAGTGTTTCACAGCAGAATTGTTTAACCAATCTTCTGAAGAGAATCTTCTTACCTTATGCAGAAGAACTCTTAAATTAATGATTCAAAATGCCAACAATAATTCTAAATTTATTACCATAGATAGCATAATTTCGGATAATCAAAGAATTTCTCTACACTGTTCTGAAAGTATGAAAGATTTCTGCAAAACTGAATGCATTCTACCTGGCTATTCAAAGGAGAAAGAGGCTCACATATTCTCATCGTACCAATTTTGGACAATACTTTTCCTCATGGCTTCATCTCTAATTACAACGAATGTTATAATATCTTTATCGGATGCAGCGTGCTACGAGGAACTCGAAGAAGAGGTTCAAGAATTTGGTAAACAAAAACTATGGTACTCCATTGGATGGGCATTAATAACAATGCTAACAGCGTATATAGTGGAAGTTGCAAACACGGGGAGAAAAAAAGTGGATTATTCTCATGGTTTCTACATGATGATACCTCTGGTTATTTTTGACATTGTAGCACTTCTAAATACAGATTTAAGAAAACGAGCATCGTCGACGGATATTATTAAAGACATTGCTAAAATATTCAGAAGACCTCATCCATTCTTTATTGTTTTCGTTGTATGTTTAGTTGGGATGTTTTCCGGTCTTCAATGGAGTTATAAGTTTTGGTATTTGGAAGATATGGGAGCGAATAAATTGCTGTTTGGATTATGTACTATCGTTTCCTGCTTCTTTGGTGAAGTTCCCTGTTTATTTCTTTCTGGTCACATCATAAATTTTATCGGAAGAGATAACAGCATGTGCCTTGCATTGCTAGCATTTTCTTCCTGGTTTCTGGCTGCTTCTTATATTTATAATCCTTGGTGGATATTATTGATGGAATGGACGCAAGGACCTTGTTATGGTATATTTTATGCTGCTATGTCATCATTTGCAAAAATCACCGCTCCTCCAGGTACAGAAGCCACTATGCAAACTATCTTGGGAGCCACTTTCTACGGATTAGGTCTGTCAATTAAATCACATATAATTTAATTTAGATAATAAATGATCTTATTATTGTTGTTATATTCATATAATTAATTATAATGTAGACTTTTTAATTTAGGTGTCGGTTCGGGAAGTTTATTAGGAGGATTTGGATTTGATATGTATGGCGGTAGAAAGACTTTTCGTTTTGCTGGTTTCTTCGCTTTAGCTTCAGCTTTATTGTATAAATTCATTACAGAAGCTGTAGAAAATGAAAAATCTAGCAGAAAGAAACGTGAGTAAAATTAAATTATAGATTAAATTTTTATCTAGTTATTGGAACTACACTACAACAGAACATGTTTCCTCGTGTCCTGACAATTTCAACTCGTTATTCTTGAATAATTCAAATATGTTCTTTATGATCATTTCTACTTGATTGTTTCTCGTTCTTGTTTTAATCCTTAAGAGTAAGCATAAGATTTCTTGAGAGAATGTATTATACAATAAATATAGAGGCTTTTATTAATTCTAGAGATTCTCTAGAATTAATAAAAGCATATATATCTATCTTCGTTGTCTGTTACTATATGATACTTTCGCTCAAGCAATGTTACATTTACTCCTAAGAATTTTTGATCATTGCTATAGCATTTCATGACTCTGTATGTTAAATTAACAATAATAATTTTTAATTACATTTTGATTAAAATTTTCTGATAAAGCAATTGGATTATCATCTAAATTTGCGATCATTTTATCTCTTTAGCTTATCGGTATGGATATTAAACTCTACAATCTTGCATAATAAAACAAACCTTACATTTATAAATTTATTGTGTTAACTGTTGTTAGTCAATTCATGTTATTTTGTAATTGGAAATGTTTTCAGTTTATCAATTTTATTTAGCTTATTCACAATTTCTACTGATAAGAACAGAAATTAGCTTGCAAGAGAAACAGGAGATAACAACGTTGGCAACGTTAACAGGAGGCAAATTGTTCTTTATCTTATGCAACATATCTGGAATATAAAGGTGTAGTATCCAGCGGAGTATTCCACCATATTAACATTCCATCTATCTTGCTATATTCTTTCCATCTCCTTGCTCACTGCATCAAAATTTTCAGAAAAACAGAACAAGTGAGCACGTAGAGAGTGAAGTTTCAAGCTCGTTGAACATTCCACACTTTGAATTTTGTTAACATATTTTCAACAATGCTAACATATTTTAATCCTTATTGTTTCCAAGGAATTTACGAACGATCCTTTGGAAGGGAGTTTAATTCTCTCTTTTCACTTATTGTAAACAGGAAGTCGTCATCTTACATCATTCTTTTTATGTCTAGTACGAAAATACGTTCTTTTATGTTGGCTTCTTACAGGTGGGAAAAACTTTTTGCAGAGGTATATGAAACATATTCCTTGTCCCGTATATTTACAATGAAATACTTTTATTTTGCTACTACAAAAAATGAATTTCGTGAAACAATCCAGCAGCGAGTTGCTTAACTTTCCCAACAACATTTGGTGGCGCCATCTGTTATCATATTTTACTAAAAAAATTTTATATTTTTAACTATCAAAAAATGGAGTAAAGCTTAAATTTGAGAGTGGGAATGGGTTTTGTAAAGAATTGTAAATGCCAATAACGAAGAAAATGTTCATTTAATCTGAACCTACTGGAAATACACACGACCATCTTTATCTCCCCACTCCCTCGACCTTTAATCACCAAAATTTAATAGCATCAATCCCCCTAATAAATAAACCATTCTGCAAAATTTCAGAAATTTTCGACCAAAATCACAGGAGTTATTAAGCTTCAAAGAGAGTGAACAAAATCGTGCCCCCACGCACATTCGTACTTACAAAAGAAAACCCTCAATGTTTTTTATTTCTTGACATTTTGAGATTCCTTGAGTCCAAAAATAAAAAAATCTTGATGGTCATTTTCTGTCGGATCGCCACATTTTCCCTCTGTTATATATAACAGTTGAGAAAATAAAAAAGAAATGCTATTATTGTTTTGTTTTTTACGTCATGATTAAATTCTACGCTTGGTTATGCATTTTAATGTTGTTTTAGGGGTAAAGCACTCCTAAAACATCATTAAAATACATTGTCCTCAAAATTACAGCCTTCTATTTTCTAACTTCTATAATTAGAAGAGGATGAAATTTGAGTTGCAAGATTTGAAAAAATACAAAGAAGGTTAAATAAAAGCATTCACTTACAATGTACGAACAATTCAGTTTACAGTTCATATCTATAAGTATACTTATACTTAAGTATAAGTTACTAATACAATTTAATTCCTAAGAGACTTATATTATATTATTATTGTCACTATTTACATAGAAATATCGTAATGCTAAGATAAAAATATTATCTTTTAAAATGTGTCTTACATCACATAATGATAAAGTTATTTCTATTTACTCTTACTAAGCAAAAATCAATTTATCATATTTCCAAATATCTTCGTAATTTCGTATTCATTTCTTGTTAAACAGAAACGTTTTGAAATGGAATAACATTCCATTACAGGCCTTAAATTTCTTAATATTTATTACTTTTCTTCTACATTTTTAAACACGTATAACATATATATATTATATTTTCTCTATTCTTCAATAAAGAGAAAAGAAAATAGAACGTCTTCCCTCTTTGGAAGCACTAAAACACTAAAAAAATATGTACATAAGTTACTGTTTGAAATGTTTTTATTTTTATTTCCTCTGAAGAGTGTAGAGTCGTTATTTCCTTGTTTAGAATACAAAAGAATGTTTACCATACTCAGAAATAGGTATAATAACTGTAATTTCTCCACTTTTATATAAAAATATTGGTTCTGTATTCTGTTTAACCTTACACTTCGTATAAAGGAATGCAGACATTCATTCATTCTTTCTTTCATTCTAGACTGGAAAGGCAAATGATATTACAAAAAGAAAAGAAAGAACCAACCAAAGCTAACCTAACAGAAAAAGAAAACTGTTATGACAACTATCATTATGTTAATTTTCTTTAAGTTTTAAATACATTTTATTAAGTTTGTTCGATACATAGCAATAATTAATTACTAATTACATAATTAATTACTTTTCGTAACTCCATATTTATTAAATAAATAAATAAGTTTGTATCTCAGTGTAATGTTAAAAATAGTAAAACTGTATTTAAGCTTCAAAGAGGGTGAACGAAATCGTGCCCCCCAACACACACATACACACTAACATACATACATACAGAACAAAACTCCCAAGTTTTTTTTTTGCATTTTTCGACGTTTCAACGTCTTTTATGTCGAAAAATGTATGTATGGGTGTGTGTATGTGTGTGTGCAAGTGCGTTGGAGTCTATTTCGTTTATTATCTCAGGATGGGGTGAAGATTAAGAAACGAAATTTGGCACGGTAGCTTATGTATAAGGGGCATTGATGTTATTAAATATTGGCGATGAAAGGCCGAGGGGAAGGGAAGGTAGAGAATAATCACGTGTCATATCTCGAGTGGGGTTGGGCTTAATGAAGATTTTATTTGTTAGCATTTACATATCCATATGAAACTCATCTCTGCCCTCGAAATTAAATCCTTTGCTATTTTATGNACTTTTTAGTAAATTATTCTTTTAGATAATGATATTAATATTCATACGCTTAACTTTATAACTATATTGTGTATTTACAATATTGATATAAAAATATAAGTGCATAAGGTAGAAGCATCAAATCAACTAAAATACACTTGGTGGCCCCTTATATTTGGGAACTCCTAGACTATTACTCGCCATTGATTGCATTGTAGTATAACATTCTTTATTATATTCTTTATTGTTAACTGAAGTTAAATTAGTTTAGATTCATTACACGAAAGTGTCTTTTATGTGTTCTTATTAAAATTTCCAGTTAACATTAACAATGCATTTTTAGTAATAATAGTTTAATTTGTATCGTTGAATCAAAATAAGANTCTTTATTATATTCTTTATTGATAACTGAAGTTAAATTAGTTTAGATTCAGTACACGAAAGTGTCTTTATGTGTTCTTATTAAAATTTCCAGTTAACATTAACAATGCATTTTTAGTAATAATAGTTTAATTTGTATCGTTGAATCAAAATAAGACTTTGATGTAAAGATTTGCATTTTATTTTAAAAAATTTAATTAATTAAACATTCGCAAATAGTAGACAATGCGTACAGAAAAAAAATTTAAGGGCTTATCTCTGTACTTTTCGCATTCCTCACCTTTGTACTCTTCACTTTTAATTTCTAATTCAAACTTCCCTGGTCTAATTTTTTATTTTCCGTTTTGAATCAATCTGATAGGCTAGGGCCTTACATACTCGACAGTATTAGGTACGATAAATCAACGAACAACATGGATTCGTTTACAAAAATCATTGTGAAGCAGGGGTAAGTGAAACTGGACGTATACAACACCACACGGAAGACAAGCATAAATAAATTTATGGTGAAACATCATTCAAAAATAGTCTGTAAATTCATTAAAATTTAAGGTCTAAAATATCTATATAGTGGGCTCTAAGTTAGCTTCGTTGTTTAGAATTTAACTAGCTTATAGCTTAAACTATAAGAGAATTTATAATCAAATTTAATTAAGTAAAAAGTATACACAGTAGATCCCTATAACACGGTAGATACGTTCCGTTTTATATGAATTCCGTGTTTTACGAGTCACTTAAATACATGAGCCAATCACAGCCAGACACGTGTGTAGTTTACGGACTACGGTTGTTTGAAAGGTTTTCTTCCATAAAATTCATCGATTCTAGACTAATTCGACTCAACATTTCCAAAACACGTATAATATTTTGGGAATAGTCCATGTTAACTATGCTATAAACAAAAAATTGTAGGATTACTTACCGAGTGTGCACCGTTCGACGACGCCATTGCTTAAGCTTGTTTTCGTCGCGGAGCGGCGCATCGAACGGCGGGCACGTGTTTCCTGACAAGTTATTTTTCTGCGAAAAATTCGCTGAACTTTGGAGACACCATTAATATATATAATTTTTATGACCCGTGAATAATAAATGGTTTCTAGTAGGTTCGCTGCGCATTTAAACTCAACGGTTTGTACAATATCCGCTATTGGTCTAGATTCGATCAATCCTGTCGCGACACGCGTCGGCGATGACGTTTTACCGTTTCATACGAGTCTCTCTTAGCATGTTTATACGAATACGATAACAATTTTTCCGCCGTGTTATACGAATCCGTATTATATGAACCCGTGTTATAGGGTGGTCTACTGTAATCAAAAACAAAACACATGCTTTATATTTAGAAGTATTAGTCTATATATTTTTTAATTGTTTTGTAACTAAATTTTCAAATTATGGTTATTTATGTAACATTTTCTCCNCAAGTGGCCTTGTATATATAGATAGATTTTAAAAATTTTTAATATTTTTAAACTATTATACAATAGCAAAAAGCTTAATTTACAGTGTATGGACAGATTTTATAAGAAATTGTAAATGCTAATAACGAATAAAATCGTCATTAAGTCGGATCCCCAATATCTCTACCCCTCGACCTTTAACCACCAAAATTTAATAGCATCAATCCCTCTAATAAACAAACCACCCTACAATATATCAGAAATTTTCTACGAAAATCATAGGAGTTATTAACTTTCAAACAGGTGAACTAAATCGTGCCACGTGCACTAAATTTACACATGCATAAATTACCCCCCACGATTTTTTCGCATTTCTCGTCGTTTCGAGATGTCCTCAGCCCAAAAAATGTAAAAATCTGCAGGGATCATTTTTGGTGGATCGACACACTATCCCTCTATTATAACAGCCGGGAAAGTAAAAACACCTGTTCGAACTGGAAAAAATACTCGATACCATGTGATTCCGGTTTATACAGATTTTACTGTAGTTAGTCATGGGTTCGTGCCTCGCCAACGAACTGGCTACTTGAAAATTTTTGAGTTTTCTTCACGTCACACTTAAAAGGGGGCCAATTTTGTATAGAAAATCCTTCCGAATGGCATCTCCCTTCAGTAGATCGTTCACGTGGTTTTTTTTATATGGTAATACATTTCTTGCTGTTAGAAGTTTAATCTTAAATTTCTTTTTGATTTTAACTGCAACTGTTATTTATGATTTAAATATTTATCCAATACGTAACGTGGAAATAAATATCTAAATTTAAAATAAATCTGCATAAATTCTCAATCAAGAATCCATTCATTCATAAAATCATTAGTTGCCGCTGATGTAACGTATACATAGTTATTGTCGATGACAATATTTTTAATACACATCACAAACATCCTGTAATTCAATGTAGAAAGATCAAAACAAGTTTTATAAATATTTCGGATTAACAAAAAAAAAAAAAAAAATTACATCACTAACATCACTCAGGAATAATTAAGAATTTCTCCTGGTTTAAAATGAGTCTAAATTAATAATGATGGAAAAATTTAGACTGAAATTAAAAATACTTATTACCTTAGTCCAGGGGTTCCAGGGGTGGAACCCCTGGACTAAGGTGAAGGATCTGGCACGTAACGTATCATACTATTTCGATTTATCATTTTTTTAGTTTATCACTTGATCATCTCTTTTTAAATATATGGTCTCCACCTCAAATTAGTAGTGGCTTGCCCCTGTACATCATACTTTTCTGTCAGAATAGTGTCGGGCCAGTCATCTAACTCCTATCAGGAAAAAATATCTGAATTGAAATAACATGACTTCTGGATTGCATCGGAAGTTCTTATATATTTAATTTGAGCCTCCTGCCTCTACGGTTTCCATATCTGGTCTTGGATTCCATCTACCTACTCCGTTTTCGAGATTAAGGAAAGACAGACAGACGAACAACAGTGGAAATTTATAGGTCTTCTTAAATTGCAGCTCAAACTGCTTCTTAACCTACCAGAGACATATCGAGGAATAATACAACAAACTGTCCTTAAATTAAATTAAACTGTTTGCATCACCCCATTGTGGGCCTAGCCAAACATACAATGGTTTTGATTAAAACAATCCTTCTTAGTGTCTACTTGGTAATAAAATTGTTTTTCTAACGGTTTAAAAAATATTTTATTACTGGTTCTCCGTTCATAATTAGTAAATTTTAACTTTGAATTGTGTAGAAGTCGAAATTTTAAACAGAAGTATAAACTATAAGTTATATTAATTACCAACAAGGGCCCCAAATCAATCTTATATAGGAAGATATTTTTCTAAAAAAATTCTCTCGAAGAAAAATATTTAAAGTCAACACTACACGGATCCCTAATTCAAATTTGCCTGGGCTTCATGATGATATAATGTGCCACTGGCTTGGCTTTCCTCTACATTCTATAATGTGCCAGTTGATTGGCTTTCCTCTACATTCTATTTTTCTGTTTGAATCTATCTGATTAGAGTCTTACATACCCGGCAATATTAGGCACGATAAATCGACGAGCAACATGGATTCGTTTGCTAAGATAATTGTGAAACCTGCATAAATAAATTTCTGGTGAAACATCATTTAAAAACATTCTATAAATTCTTCGACTTACTAAATTAAATTCAATGTCTAAAATACCTATATAATGGGCTCTAAGTTATTTCTGTTCTTTAGAATTTAACTAGCTTACAGCTTAAACTATAAGAGAATCTATAATCAAATTTAAATTAAAATAATATGGATGTTTCAAAATGTGCAATAAATAAGTAGTGATAGTATATATAACAATAGTAAATACAGAATTATTATATGGCCATAAAAAGAAAACTACTGGACAGAATGTTATCAAACTTAGTAACATTCTGTCCTTTAATGGCTATTTCAAATTGGAACTTTAATTATAATGACCCTGTATATAGGAATGGAGGGTGGTGTGAAAATCAACAATAAATAATATAAATTTTCATCAACACACCTTTTTATTAAGTAAAATTTGGTTATGTAACTTGTACCTAAAATA